AATCAATGCTACAACATTGGCGAAATGTAAAAAGGGAGTACGTATCATAAATGTGGCTCGTGGTGGCATCGTAGATGAAGAGGCATTATTGAATGCGTTAAAATCGGGCCACTGTGCTGGCGCTGCTTTGGATGTATTTACAGAAGAACCGCCAAAAAACTCTGTTACTCTAGAATTAATTGCACATCCTAAAGTTATCTCTACTCCTCATCTAGGTAAAATAAGATAAATAAAATAAAATTCCTTTTCAAAAAATTAATAATTTTTTTTGTATGGTATAGGAGCAAGTACTGAGGAAGCTCAGCAACGAGTTGCCGAAGAAATAGCCCAACAATTTTTGGTGTTAGCCGGTAGATCAACGGAATATATAATTACCGGAATCGTAAATGCTCCAATGTTGAGCGCTGCTATGTCAGATGAAAACGCATCATGGATTGAATTATCGAAAAAATTAGGCAATTTGATCAGTCGGATTTTGAAAGGAAAATTGAATATAACCATACATAATCAAATTATTGGCAATAAAGAAATGGAAAAAAAAACATTCATTCACACAGCTGTTCTTGTTGGGATCTTATCAGGGCAAACAAAAAATGGTTTAAATTTGATCAACGCACCGACATTAGCACAAGAAATAGGTATCGATATCAAAAGAAGCTACGAAGAATCAACGAACATCGAAGCAATTGTTATTCAAGCTGAGGGTCATTGGATCAAAGGTAAAAATGAAATAAAGATTATTGCATTATTGATTTATTTCTCATTTTTATGCAGGAACCGTTTGTAACAACAAACCGATGTTACTCTCATTAGATGACGCATTGTTTTCTGATGGAATAACTTTAGGAGATTTCATTTCTTTATATCAAACAAGTAATATACAAGATTTAGCGCAAATTGTAAACGTTTTTTCCTTGAAAAACATCAATATTTGTAACTTGAATATCAATGGAAGTTGGATGATTATTCAAACTGATCGAGAAGTTTCTGTACCTGTCAATGGTATTGAATCCTTTTGAAATTAATGCTTTTTTATTACAATGGTTTGATAAATATGTGACATTAAATCGCATATATTTATTCTATATTTTTATATAAAAAAGAAAAAACACAGTATTTTAAAATTTAATATAAGTCATTTCTATTTGTTATATCCGATATATCTCTATTATCGATGCACAAATAGCGCATTGTTTAATTTTATTGAAAGTAAAAACGCAATAGATTGTGTTTTTATTTAAAACATCACAATCGCACATATTTAAACATTTTTATAAATCTTTCATATATACACGTGTATTATAAAATAAAAATATACAAAAATATATATGTGTGCAAGCACACGTGTATGTATATAAGACCGTATATGTAATTTATATATAAGTATTTATATTTTTATATTATTAATAATCATTAATAAAATATTACATATCATAAAATTATTATTATGTGTATGTAACATAATTAAATATTCAGCTACTTTCACACAATATCAAACACTATGAATGCATAATGCGTTATACACATATATACATTTGCATATAAGCATTTTATATCTTTGAAAAATATACATATCTTAAAGAATATATTCATTGATAATTTTACAATAAAAAATTATTTTAGCGTTTTATTGGCTAATTAAATCCACAAGAGTACTTTTTATGATCTCTTAAATTTATATTGCATTTTAAATTATAATCATATAATTTTATATTCTTTCATAACTGTCTAAGCGACAACAATTAAAAGTAAATACAACTCCATCCTGTAAAAATAAAATAAAATTTTTTAATTTTATAATGAGTTATATTATGTTAATATAAAAAAAATAACAGAATATGATAGAAATTCAATTAAAATATGATATAAATTCTCACTTACTTTAACAAGTGAAGGAAGATTCCGCCAAAATTCATGATTAGGTACCATTTCCCAACCAGTTGCTCCTCGTAAAAACTTTAAAATTATCGTTCCTCCAATAAAATATATTCCAGTTAATATAAAAAAATAGATAAGCAATATAGAACCAGTAGAAAGACTTTTAATTTGTGTCGTTTTACAAGCATAAGAAGATGTTAATATTAGATGCTGAAGTAAGAAAATATAAGCAAGCATATTTAACATACAATGGAAAATATATTATTTTATATTATTATATATTTTTAGAATTAAAAAATTTAAAACATACGTATTCATTCTTATCAACATTGATAGAATCCACATATAAATGAGTACCACATAAATTATTACAGCAAGCTAGAGCTATTGTCGTTATACTATTATTTTCATTACGAAGAATGAAAACGGGCGGTTTCGCATTATCTATTTCGACAATTATTTTTGTTTCTTCTGCTTTACCTAGACTAAAAGTATGATTGTCGTGTACAGCACATAACTAGAATGTAAACGAAGTATATTAAATAATATTGACAATAAAACTTAATACAAATTTATGCTATTTTAATGAATTTGAATTTTACTTACAGAAACACCTTTATAACAATCAGTTGATTTATTGCCTAATGGTGTATTCATACAAGGATGATAATAAAAAGTGAAATTACTGAAATCATCGGTGGCTATTAAGCTAATAAATATTTATTTTTAATTAGAAATTAATGCGTAAAATGTAAAGAGGTTAGAATTTTCAATCTACTGACCTTGAATTACTCAGAGGTGACAAATTATAACCTTGTCCATTAGAAAACATACACGAACAAGCCGTTAATTGTCTACATTCTGAAGATATTTGTTTGCAAAAAAGTATTAAAAAAAACTCAACGAGTAATATTTCATTTTTCCCAATCATACTTAATAATCTTTGATACATAATTATAGCACTTATACCACTATTACCATATATAAGGTATCATTGGTATTAATTTCAACATTTCTTTTCCAAAAATATAAAACATTCAAATAAAACAAAAACTTTTATTTACTAACCTTAAAACTATTCGACAACAATCTAAATGATACTAAGATCAGACTCATTTTTACAAACAGGTTAAAAGTTACTTTTCTTTTTTCTTTTTTGTATCATTATAATTACATTATGCTATTGCATTATACTATTTAAAATAATTGTTAGATCTACTAAAGATATGTAGAGACAAAAAAGTGATAAATCCGTATGAAATCTATTTATAAATATAGATATTATCAATATTACTTTGCTAATCAATCCGAGATTTAAACTGTAAAGATTAATTTGAAATTAATTTTTATCTAAATATTTTTTTTGTCTATAATTAATATATAAGTTATTAATAAATTAAGTTATTATATTAAGTAATTAATATATATAGTTATATAATAATAACTTTTTAAATTATACAATGAAATAAAAAATGAAAATTAAATGATAATCTACAGTAAAATAATAATATGAAATAGCAAATGTCAAATGTCAAATGTATTTTGTAAATAACTTCTAAATCTTGAATTAGAAAACTAATTTGTAAATTTTTTAATTTTTTTTTTTATATTTTTTCATAAAACTAAATAATATTAAATCTCTAGTGTCTTATATTCAATTTATTATTTTAATTAACTGTTTTAAAAGATCATAAATAGTGAATATAGTAGTATAGTATAATATATAGATTCGACAAATGAAAATTCATTTTTTTTTTTAGAATATTTTAAAATTCCTTCTTATTTCTTTTATTAATAGATTAAATACTGTCATCATACTTTATGTCAAAATATCTATATTATATATAAATAAGCTACATAAGATTGTTATTTTATTATAATTCTGAAAATATATAAATCTTTTATATTAAAGATTAAAACATATTGTAGTTTTCAAAGAGAAATAATAAATAAAATAAATAAATAAAATATATTCAATTGATATCCAATATTTTTTCTAATCATAATCTCTAGTCATAATTATATATGAATAAATATTAATAGTGAAAAAAAAACAAAAAAAATAAAAATTAAAGAATCAATGCCATTTCTAGAATGCCATAGATTAAATTTATAAAGATAAAGAAAGTAAATATTAGAAAAAGATAGAAATAGAATAAGAAGTAACCATTAATGCCATCTTTTAAGAACTAGAAAAAGAATTATTTTCTAAAATTTTTTAAGAGATGACGCTAATGGTTACTTCTATTCTATTTTATCTTATCTTTACTCTTCTTTTATTATTTGCTTTTCTCGTTCATATTTAATTTCATATATACCGTTTTAAAGATGGTATTGATTCTTAAATTTTTGTTCTATCCCTATTTTTTTTTTTTCTTGTTTATACTATTTTATTCATGACAGTCTAGAGATGGCGCTAATTCCTTAATTTCTCCGTATTTATTCTAATATTTGCTTTTTTTTATATTAATATTTATATTAATATTTTTTATATTAATATTATTTAGTTTATAAAGATTTATATATCCAGAAATTCTATGATTCTAATTTCTTCTTTGCCTAATATATTAAAAATTATAGATTTTTACAGATCATAAAGTTTTACAGATCTTAAATTCTTGATATTTTGTTATTTGTGTTACATAAATATTAATATTTATAATTTTTAATATAGTAATATAAAGAAATAAATTTCATAAATTGATATTATTTTTATATTATAATAAAAAATACAGATATAAATTTTAATTCATGAATAATTTAATTCATAAATGAATCTAGCAATAAATTCAAAGTAATTAAAAAATTTATGAATATAATGTAATAATATATAAGAATATTTTATATATAATATTTAATATTTTAATATATATATATAATTTTATATAATTATATATATATAATTTCTGCAATTATATCAAAAAGAGCATATCAAACATTTTAATTGTTTATGTAATCGGTATTTCAAAACGAGACACAAAATTCTATATTAAATGTTAAATCTATCCTGTATTTCATCTTGTATTTCATATTCTATTAAACGAGATTATGAGAGTTTATTCTTAAAATAGATATTTCAACAAACAAGTTTAATTTTAATGACAAAAGTTTTTAACAATAACTGTTATATACATAATTAATCAATAATATACAATTAGGATATCAGACAAGATATTACGACAATATAAGATTATATATAATTAAGGTTATAAATTAATATTACAAATACAAAGTTTTATAAATTATGAAAAATTTTTTCTTATTTTAAGGATAAAATATCAAATAAAAATCATAAATTCATAACAAACAGCTCTGAAAAAATTTTTAAAAAAAGTGATGAAAAATCGTATCAACAATTGGATTTATCTACGAAAACTTTAATACATATCAAGTTTACTAAATTTTATATTATAACATGCAACATTTGTCGCGAAGATATCAACAACTCTGATTGATTGATCATGATTATCGATATTGCAATGTCAGCAATCGATTGATTCTAATAGAAAAAGCATGTAAGCACAACTTTATAATTCCTGATTGTTAGATGATTCTGGCAAAAGAGAAAGAATTCGCAAATAACTTAATTCGCGATCTTTTTGACGTTGCTCTTCAGTAATTTGTTCAAGGAAAATCGGTCCAGTGTAGTTCATCAAAAAGCATGCGATCGGTGCCAGGAAAAAGGTAAGTACGGATAATCTGACGATGTCTAAAGCCATTTCGAATTCCTCGTTTCCTTCGTTGTTCCTTAATTGATCATATGCTAATGGCCCTAAAGCTGCCTTTAAATTTGAATTTATGAATTTTTGAATTGATAAATAGAAATATAATGAATATCTTAATGAGATCAAGTATATCGAATATCACAAATAAGTTCGATAATAGACCAGATTTATATCTTCTACAAATATTTCGAAGGAAATAAGATTCGAAACCAACTGATCAAAGAATAAGATTAGATATTTCGAAAGTATAATGAATAAAGTATATAATGAATTATATTAATGAATTATATTTTATGAATAATATTTGAATCTTATAAAATAAAATTTGAATATTGCATTTGATTTGCATTTATAAATATATATTCAACTTGATCCAATTATTATGTAATGTAATCAAAACTATTATATAAATACCTGCAAAGTACCTTTTGGTATAGAAGCCGTAATTAAGAACAGTCGTTCTTTCCATGTAAATGAACTAATCGACCATGCTACAATATAAGCAGTAACGCATCGTCCCTATGCTCGTATATAACAAAAAATATATTTGTTCAAATTAATCATGTAAGCAGAGAATTTAACCAAATAAAATAGAATCTTGATTATCAGAATGAATCGATTATATCTTCTATGATCAACAAATTCGATTATTAAAACATCAATTAACAAGACAATTATCTGAACTGTATATTTTGTATTTAGATTAATTTGTTCATTATGAATTTTTTAATATTTTTGCTATTTTTGTTAATATAAAAAATTTTGTTTTATTAATATAAAAATTTTTGACATATAAAAATAAATTTTTAGTTCAGAATAAATATTTATAAACTTTTTCAAAATCATATTTTTTTCCACCAGTTTCATATGTTTACAAAGTGACTGGTATTTTGTTATATCACTGTCTTTCAAATGACTGTCATTAAAAAAAAATTAATAAATTTTTTAAATTAATTGAAATTTAAATATTTTTTCTTTCCTGTTGCTACCAAAATTTTTATTTTAATAATTAAGATTCTGTATTAAAATTTTATAAATTTACCATTAATCCAATCAGAATGCAAAATAAATGTAATCCGAATCTGGATATAGTCCACAGTGTGATATCAATGTCAGCACCTATAATTCCGACCAAAATTGGTTGTGCCAGCTTCCAAAGTGTATGCATTATTCTTCGTAAATTAGCTGACTAAATATATTAGCAATCTTTACATGTACCTACCAGAAAATGAACTTGAAAACTGATACTTACATCAAATTTATGCGACAAAATTTTCCAACCACTTATGCTGATAAATGCTATTGTTAAAGTGGATAAAAATCCTGCACCGGAAATGGCTATCTTCGCAATTCCTGTTGTGCACATCAAAGAGCCGAGTATCAAGCAGATTACACGATACCGATCTACGTATCTCTAATTGGTGTATTGATAAATTGATTTAATAATGATAAATGAAATAAAGAAAAAGATAAATAGATAGATAGATAGATAGATAGATAGATAGATAGATATATATATATATATATATATATAGAGAGAGAGAGAGAGAGAGAGAGAGAAAGAGAAAGAGAAAGAGAAAGAATAGCAGAAGAATAATAGTAGAAAATAGTAAAAAAAACATATAAAATACCTACATGACTACGATGGGGGAAAAAGATGAAACAAATCCCTAGAAATATTCCCATTGAAAGGCCCAAAATTAAATCGCGAAGAGTGATGGATAAATAAAACCACCATTGAGTTTTATATTCATCTGAAAAAGAATTAATCATGGAAATATTATGTTTTTCAACACAGGAAACAATTAGAATAAAATTAATAAAAATTAACAAATAAAATGAAAAAATCAAAATTGAAATCGAATATAAATTATAAATCAAATATTAAAATCGAATAAAACTATAGAAAATAATTTTCTATTTTACTATTAGAAATCAAGAAAAGATTATGTTTTTATATTTTATTTCAGCTTAATAACGAACGGTAGCCTACCGTTAGCGAAAACGATCGAAAAACAAAGCACGAACAGGGAAATAACGTGCACAGCGTCGATGCAAGCAGCAGTGGAGAGAATTGTGTCTAGTCTTTTAGCTTCTCCATAACCTTGTTCGATTAAAGTTAGGAAAGTGTTCATGATCACCACTGGCGATATACCACTAACTATTGTTCTTTGTACCAATATACGAAAATGAAAAAATTATAATAAAAGAATAATAAGAGAAAAAAAAACAGTAGGAGAAAAATTATGGCATATATATAGTACATTTACTTTCGATTGGTCACTCACCCAGTCATAAAGGACCAGTCCCAATGAAATAATAAAATGAATCTGCAATATACTGTGATCATGAGTATTTCGATTGAAGAAGGAACGATAGCCAAAAATATTATGAACATTGTATTCTTAGTTATACTGGTAAATGATAATTGAAGTCCAAAACGTATCATGATAAAAGTTACACAAAATGTTCTGATCTTAGCGGTTGTTATGATACCAAGTTCTTCGTGAATATTGTAAAGTCCGGAGTTGCGAACAATCAAGCCAGCGATTAACATTCCAAGCATGGGTGGAAGTTTTACATATGGGATAATCGAAAAAAAATTGCCAAGACAATAAGAAAATATTGCAAGAAAGAATAAACCGAAACCATCGTTGTTTGGTATCATCGTTTTGTCCAATAAAAAATACAATACTGCCCAAGCCATTACTATTATGCCTATGTAAGTCGTTATGTCAAATAAATTTGCCCAAGTCACATCGAATCCAAAATACTGTATAACCGGTTTCGTTATAAGTATGTTTCGTATCATGGGATGAAATATAGTTATTCGATGACAACACGTGATATCTTCATATTCTTCATCCATTTTTTTTAATTTTTAATTTTTTTTTATTTTGTTTTTATCACACTTTAATTAATTAAGATTTTTTTTTCTTCAATCGTTCCAAATTGATATATTCGTTACTCTCTACAAGACATGACTGATTTTGTTATCGAGGTTATGTCTCTCTTCGATTGTTTCCTTCGACTTCGAAGTATTGATTGATACTCCAATATATCGAAGAATATTCATAATCGATTTATCATTGAATTTTCGAAATTATGTATACAAAAATATTAATACAAGTATATTAGTACAAATAAATTTTAAAATATATACAATACAATATAATTTAATTTTTTAAGTATTTCTGATCTGAATTTTAATTTTTTCTTTCAAATAAAAAAAATATTATTCTATAGATTTTAATAAATGGAAAAATCTAAAAATTATAAAAAAAGAATATCATAGAATAGAAAATTAGAATCTATTGATATCAATTTTTCGCAAAATTCATTTCGCATGTTCTCATTCTCGTGAAATATGCTAAGTAATTTTACAAATCAAATTCGATGACTTTTTTATGAAAATTGCAAAATTATGTCAAGTTCTGTAAGATATAAATATACATTATAGATATATATATATGCATTATCTTAGCCCTTCTTAATGAATACTCTTAGCTTCTATTGGTTTTACTTGGCCTTTCTTCTTCCCTCTTGTTCCACTTACCTCGATTTGTACATAGGATTCACGCGCTAGTTACAATACAAATCCCATCTTCTTTCAAATGCCATCAAACTATAATCATTAACATTTCTCGCCACATTTTCATTTCAAAAAAAAAAAAATTTGCAACTTATTAAATTACAATCAAAATTTAAATTTATACAATTAATAAATCGTTCTATTATTATTTTTTCATTGTATTTTTTCTCTTTCCCTTTGCTTTTATCGCTTTTTTCTTCTATCTTTCGCCAAAAGTGTATCATAAACAGTTAATTACTGTTTAGACAATATGTAAATGTGATTTCGGTGAAAACGCCGGAGTAATCCAAGCATGTTTCTGTCATCGGGTCTTTGACCCGAGCAAAACCACTTAAATCACCAGGTATTGGATTTGTGTCTGGCTGGGAAAATAGCACTCTTGGAAAATGAATATCTATTTTGGTTGTTGAAACGACGCAGTCGTTCGTACCAATAGTCGGACGTCAAGTGGATTTCAGGTTATTGAACCTGCTCATTGATCCTTTTCCGTGTATACCGACGCGCGTTTGCCGTCGAGTTATCGCAAAAGCAGCGCCTATAACCAACACCTTAGCTCAATTTCGCTGACACTGCGACTAATTATTGTTAGGGGCCAAATTCAAGATATCGAGTCTATCAACGCCAGTATCGATATATATCAAAGTTTTAGATATTATTTTTCAATATCTTTTAAGAGAATATTATACCAATAATACTTTTTACTCTAGTCATATTTTTTCTTTTATTTTATTATTAATAAATAGTACAAATCAATATCTAGTTTTATTAAGAGATACTTACTAAGAGATATTGCTTTATTAATTTATCGTTAATTTGTACACTTTACTGTTACTTGGAAATACAAGATCGATTCCAAGTTTCCGGATACTTGCAATGTACAATATATAAAACAAAGGAGAAAACAGAAAGAACAGAAGAAAAGAAAGATATATCTATGACTATTATTTCTGGAAAATTTACATATATACATCTGTCAGCTAGTTCTCGACAAACTGTCGCAATGCGCCGCTTGATTCACCCATGCATTCGTATCGCGAGACGACCATCAAATAATGACAGAGCGCAAACATCAATATGTTCAACTATTTTATACATACTTTTCATTAATTATACATTTATTCTCGTCTATGTTTTTTTCTTGTTTTTTAACATTTTGATCAGATTCTTAAATTCGAAATAGAAAAGTATTCCATTTGGAAGTTTGAAAAAATTGAGGATGGCAATGATTATCCAAAGATTAAATTATAAGGTCCATATATGTAAATAATATTGATAATAATGTTGTCAATTTTACAGTAATATTTTCAATTTTCTTTAATTTTTTTCAGATCGCATATAATCAATAATATCGATTCTTGAAACTCTTTTAGGATACAAGTTCGTTTAGAAGTAAAATTATTTTTGAGAATTATTTCTAATGAATGCTGTATTGAAAGTGATTATCTGAAGATAATTGTTACTTGTAATATTCAAATTGTGCGACAAATTACAATTTACGAGAAATACTCTCAAGAAATTCTCAAATGGACTGGTGCTTTTAAACAAAATAAAACGTTCGCAGATTTGAAACCGGTGATGATCGTACGTTGCGATCTTCTCGAAAATATGTACACGTATATACGTAAAATATGTGCTAGTCTTCGTATCGCTTTACATATCGCGTCTCTTGCGTTTTGTGTTCGTCGTCCATTTGCCATTTGCTCGTCCATCCCGTGCTCTACGTTGTCTGTTTATCCGTTCATCTCTACCCCTGACATCTCTCATCCCTCTCTTCTTTTGTCTGCCTGTTAACCAAAGATCCTTTTTGTACGCTTCAACTAGTTACCGGTGCAACATGCTTCAGAGAACATTGTTTCTCATTTTCCTAACGACATACTTATATACCTATCTTGACATTTCACATCTGCAAAGATTCGATCTCCATTACCTATGTATACTAAAACTAATTCATCTTTCGCCTTGTTGCCAACTTTTCGAACGATTCTGACCAATTATTTTTCATATTCATAACCCTTTTCCCTTCTTCGTCCATACAGTTAAGCAGCTTTTGCATTCGACCGGTCGAAATCTCTTCGAAACGGTAACCGTCGAAACAAGTATTCGCTTAGTTTATTAGCGACGATTTTTAATCTCGACAAAAGAGAGGATAACGGGGAGGGAATAGAGCAGGAGGCAAAGAAAGAGACCAAGTTAGGAAGCAAAGAACAAGAGCGAAAAAAGGCTTTTCTTCTTTTGATGCGCCTACTTAAAGTACACGGGTCCGTGTTTCCTGTCGTACGCGTGGAAAGAGTACCCTCCAAACTGGCCGTAACGACCGGTAACCCCATCCTAAACGAAGCCTTAAAGAGGGAAGGGCAGGGTAACCGTGTAACAAGAGGCTGTGCAAAAGGGTTGAAGAGTCGCGAAACCATGAAGGGGAAGCACGAACCGACGTCTACGGATACGATGTGACGTGGCTGTATTGTAACTCAAGAGTTTTCTTGCACTCGTCATCCATCGTTCTGTTCTTCTCTACATTCGTGCGTAAAACTGTTTTCTACATCTTATACCGTTTCCTCGATTTTCTTCTTGATTCCGCTTCTTTTACTTTATCACGTGATATTCTGATTTAATTGTCAATTTCATATGTTTATAATAAAACGTATCCTTCTTATTTTATCCGAGATCAAATATCATTGAATAATATTATTTGAAAACTCACCAAGAATTATGAATCCATGAAATCTATATCAAAGATGTTTTTGAGTCTAGAAAATCAACTATTAGTTTTTTTTTTTTTTTTTTTTTTGAAGAAAAAAGGATATTTCTTTTCTTTAAAATGAGATTGGCATTCTGGGAATCAAAGGTAAAATTTAAATTGTGCATCTCTAGTCCAGAATAATGTAAAGTACATAGGGTAAATTTTGTTGACGTATCAAAATTAGAGTCACGTATAAGTCCTTGAAGAGGAACTAAAGAAGGGAGAAAAATAGGGACAAAGCGAGAATAAGGTCTTGAGTCGAGGGTAAACTGTAAAGGGCAGACAGTTGAGTAGAAGATATCACGATTAGAACGGATTTATTTTATATCTTTATTTTATTGAATATGCATTCTGAAGAATATAACATGTATTATATTTATAATATTATAAATTGCAATCTTTTAATTTTCATGAAATACGTATTGCATTTTAATATAGGAAAAGTATACTTTTCTTTCGAATGACTAGAAAACTCGGATTATACGGAATACGATTGGACAGTGGTAAGCGTAGGCAGATGGAGGAAATGTTGGACTATGTCCAACCGGATGATAGTCTAAGCTTGATTAATTACCCAACGATCAATTGTGTTTTATAATATTTATGTACCGTAAAAATTTGGCGTAACATCGCTGGAAATTTTCAGTTTAATTTATTTGTATATGATGATGATGATAATGATGGTATCTGGATGATAATACGCTTCGCTATCAATTAAAATTTCAAATATTATCTTTGTGTTAAAAAAAGTATAATTTTTAGGCTGATTGATTCGAAATTAGTACAATCAAATAAATGCATAAATATCAATTAGTTATATAATAATTGTCTTTGAAAATTAAATTCATTAATTTATTCATTTTATCACTTTCAAAAATCGAATATCTCACATGTATTTTAATTCTTTAATTTTATCTTCGTTTTATCTACTCTTATTCCAATGTTGATATTCTTAATATCATCTGATCTGAAATATTAAATTTGTTAATTATGTAACTGATTATAAAGATATATAAATATATAACACATGATAATTCTTTATGTAAGACTTATAAAAGTAAAATTTTATATTTTATTGTAAATATCGCTATAAATTTTTCAAGCATTTAAATGTGTACACATATATACAAATATATATATATTATTGAGTCAAATTGTAAATGAAATTATTACAATTATAATTAAAACAATTAAAACAAGAAGAAGGAAATTAAAAAATAAATCGAAAACAAAAAAAAACAAAAGAAAACAAACTGAATCATTTGAATTGAGCGTCACTGAAACTTCGATGAACGACGTCGGGAGAAGCAGCGCCTCTCTTCGGATAGCTACATACAGAGTCTAGCGTTCGGGTGCATTCGGTTTTCCTGCCACGAAGTTGCCAATGAGTGGCGCGACGCACATAGGTTCGCGTTGCCAGTCACCGACGGAGCTTGATCGTCTACGTGCCTCTTTAAATCAGCAAGTTTACAGTTGTGATCGAGAACATTTTTCCAATCACAATCGAATATCTTCGATGCTTCCTGTATTGTCTCAAAAATGATATTTTAACATTTGTGTAACTTAAATT